TCTCTCTCTCTCTCTCTCTCTCTCTCTCTCTCTCTCTCTTCCTCCAACTTTTGTATCAGTAAACTCTCGGCTACTGCCCCAGCACCAGGCCTGCCTGCCTGCCCACTGCCTGTCCCCTACCGTGGTGGCCATGGACTCACGCTCTGAAACTGTGAACAAGCCCCAATCAAATGCCTTCTTTTATTGGTTGCTGTGGTCACTGTGTTCCTTTACAGCAATAGAAAAGTAAGATGGAAGGACACTGTAAAACTGGTGTTGTCATGAGTTAAATCTGCCTTCTCCAAACATGTGGACACCCTAACAACCAAAATCTGGGACTGGACCTATCCAGAGATGGGGCAGATGACCAAGACCAGGCCATTAGGCTCTAGTTCAGTGTGATAGAGTCTGAGACATTTGTAAAGACTGCCAGCAAATACCCCCTACCCACCCTTGCCCCAGGTTGGGATACAACTTTCCTTTTTTTTACAGACCTCAGAAGAAACCCACCCTGCCTACACCTTGGTCTTGGACCTCTGGCTACCAAAACCCTGAGATAAAAGCTCTTCATCCCAGGACTCAGCTCAGTGCTACCACCCTTCATGTGCGAGGCTCTGGATTCCTTGCTCAGCGACATGAAGCAAGCACACAAGCCATTCAGTTTGTGGTACTTCGCTCTGGCTGCCCCAGCACCAACAGGGATGCTCTACAGAAAATAACCACCTCGTGTGAATAAATGACCTCTCTAACCTGCTTTGATTTAAAAAAAAATCTATTTAAAAACTCAAGAGAATTCACACTTGCCTGGTTTTGTTTGTTGTTTGTTTTGTGATTTCCTGAGGTGGGTGGGATGTGCTGGGGGCAGCCTGTGCTCATTAGATGAAGTGAAGCGTCAACCAACAGCCTGATCGGATTTGATTTAGTAAAACATCTGTCCAATTAAGTCTGACCAAGAAAGATAGAATCCGTAATGTATGTATTTCCAGTCAGCACCCAGGACTCTGCCGAAGCTGCTGAGGCAAGAGCTTCCAGACAATTCCTCAGAGATAATTACCTTGCTCATGTCATCTAGACCCATCTGCCATGTGTCCTGGCTGATTACCTGTCCTGTCTGTCTTGCCCTAACAGACTGTCAGGGAAGGTGGAAGCAATGTTCAACTCAGCTTTGAGCTTCCAGCCCCTCCCCATCCCACTGCTCACCAGGCACCGGCACACAGTAGGGCTCCATGCAAGCTGGAGGATCAAGGACAGGATGATAAACTGCACCCGAAACCTGATGCCAAGAATATGAATGGCAGTCTGAAAATGGGCCCCGTGGAGTCCAGGCACAAATGCAGGCAAGAGAGTCTATAGTTTGCTATTGAAATACTGGGGATCTTGAAGGCTGGACCCAGGGCAGGGCAGGCAGGCGTAGGGAAGGGCAGGGGCAGGTCAAGGGCATGGTGTGGTGGGGCAGGGGGGGGGGGGGGGGCAGGGCAGGCAGGGACAAGGGAGGCATAGAACCTGAGAGTCTCTGGCGAGGGCTCCTTGGAGAGTGGTAGGGTTGGCTGGGATTAACTTCCTTGCTTGGGGAGGGGGACATTCTGCTTCTGCTCAGTGGACTGTGAAGAAACGCCAGCTTGGCACTCAGGTGAGGCCCCTGGAGACCGCCTCCCAAATCTGCCTTTTTGCTCTTGGGAGTAAACAGCAAGCGTTGATCAACAAAGCTTGGCGTTTGCATTTACAATGAAGTCATATCTACTGGGGTGAACGCTGGAAGATCAGAGAAGCAGAACAGGCCACAGCTAACCTCACCTTGCCAATCCCTCAGCTGATCCTGTTTCCTCAGACTGGAAGCCTCTCAGCTGAACTGTGCTGCTCAAAAGCCTAAAAGCTTAACCAGCCTAGTTCCTGGTTTTCACGCCTTATATACCTTTCTGCTTTCTGCCATCACTTCCTGGGATTAAAGGCATGAGTCACCATGCCTGGCTATTTCCAGTGTGGCTTGAACTCACAGAGATCCATATGGATCTCTGCCTCCAGAAGGCTAGGATTAAAGGTGTGAGTGCCACCATTTTCTGGCCTCTATATCTAGTGGCTGTTCTGTTCTCTGACCCCAGATAAGTTTATCAATGTTCACAATATATTGGGGAACACAATATCACCACAACAACCCTTGCCCAGATCGGCCCAGGGTCACCATGAGGATGGGGTGTTAAATGGTGTTGTCATGGACATGCCGAAGCCACCCCGAGAGTTGGGGTGCAGAGCCTTGCTGCTTCTCCACAGTCAGGACCAATGGCCCCTCTACTTCCTCACAGGTGTCGGGCACGTGCTGTGGGCAAGCTTGGAGGTGAGCATGGTGATCTGACTGCTTGGTGGCTGGCATGAATAGATTCATCCAGTCTTCATCACAGTCCTGGAATGTGCAGCAGAATCCCTAATGTACACTCAGGAGATGGTCCTGGGCCATCCCTGTGGGGCGGGGGGGTTGTCTTGATTACTTAACATATATGGAAGATTCATATTTTTTTTAGACAAGTGTCTTAGTTATGGTTTGCATTGCAGTGAAGAGACACCATGACCACAGCAACTCTTATAAAGGACAGCATTCAATTGGATGGCTTACAGTTCAGAGGTTCAGCCATTAGCATCATGGCGGGACATGGCAGGGTGCAGGCAGACATGGTGCTGGAGAAGGAGCTGAGAGCTCTACATCTGGATCCACAGACAATAGGAAGTCCACTAGGACACTCAGCATGGCTTGAGCACATATGAGATTTCAAAGCCCCCTCCACAGTGGCACACTTCCTCCCACACAGCCACACCTGCTGCAACAGAGTCACACCTCCTGACAGTGTGCCACTCCCTGTGAGCTTGTGGGAACTAATTACGTTCCGACTACCACAACAGGTTCCTCGGTAGTCCTGCCTGTCCTGGAACTCGCTCTGTAGACCAGGCTGGCCTCGAACTCACAGAGATCCACCTGCCTCTGCCCCCCAAGTGCTGGGATTGAAGGTAAGTGCCACCGTGCCTGGCAGGGAAGACTCCTCTTACTTATGGCTGGGGCCATTCCCTGGGCAGGGGCTCCTGGGCTGTCTGAGGATGAGACAGTGAGCTGAGTCCTCTCTGCTTCTTGGCTGCAGAGGAAGGTGACCATCTCTCCCCTGCCATGATGGGCTCCAGTCTGGAGTGGTGGTGGAGCCAGAACGCTTCTTCCTTAAGTTGCTTTTGTCCAAGTATCTTATCACAGCCACAGAAAGGAAATTCAACGGGGCGTTGGCATCTCGGAGGTTCTTCAGGCACTTCATTGAGGCAGGAGGGCTGTGGCATCACCAAGCATCTCATCCTCACAGACTGGGCCCATCTCTCTCATCCAGCAGGAAAGCTTCTCCTTCCAGGTTGGCCACACTGGGTCACAGGAAACCCTGGACTGATTTCTGGCAGAGGCAACGATCTGGACAGACACGTTGGTGCTGGTTCTTTGAGCAGGAGAGGGCATGGCTTCCCCAGGATCTGCACCATGTCTGGGTGTTGAAATGTCCACTGGTCAGAGGGGACCCAGGGAGCTGTTCACTGCAGTATGCATGGCCTCTGGCTCTCTCTGAGCGACTGCCTAAGACACTCTGGCTTTCACAACTCAAGAATGAGCCAGGTCCTTTCTGACCTTGTGGACAGGAAGTAGGAGGGCTGGAAGGAGGGAGGCTCTCGGTGAGGGAGGTGCTGGGGAACAGGGCTGCCTTGGTACACGAGGTTTTAAGGTCTGCAGAGGCCTTCCTCCAGGCCTCTCTCTAGAATGAGTTAAACAGTGCCTGCCCGGCTGTGCCTGGGATACATTCCTGAGGCGAGAGAAAGACAGGAGATTTAATCGAGAGACATGTGATGTTCAATTGAGCTCCAAATTGATTTTTTTTTTTTTTGGACATGTCATACCAGATGCAGGTAGGTAAGGGCTTGGCTTTTCTGTAGGCAGATGGGTCCACCTAGAGTGAGCAGAGGGAGGGTCTGGAAGTCTCTGGAATGAAGCAGAGCCGGAAAGGCGCAGGAAGTCCAAGGCCAGGGATGGGCAGAGTGAGAGACAGCCCTGCTGTTCCCGCCCTTCCCTTGCCTGCTCGCTCACCCTTCTGTCTTCATTGCCCAACAGCTTGTGTGGTTGGAGAGTTTCTGCTGTGTTCTCTAGTGAGGACCTGCAGGTAAACTGAGTCCCTTGGGGGTCTGGGTGTCTACAGGCTAAAGGGGAGCTAGGGGAGGGGAGGGTTGCTGGCCCAGTGAGCTTGTCATTTCTAATCCTTCCTAAGTGACACCAGGGGCTTATTGAAATAGAATTCACACAGTCGATTTTAGAAGAAATGTATATGGTTATTTGTTTTAAGATCGCATCTTACCATGTTGCACAGGCCTTGAATTCCTGGGCTCAAAAGATTCTCCTGCCTCAACCTCCTCAGCGCTGGGACTTCAGGCACATGCTGCTTTCAGCACTGATGAGTTTGGATCAATGCGAACAGCTTTTTCAATGAGCATCATTACCAGAGGAGACTTTGTACCTCCTTCAGATGCCCCTTGCCCCTCTGCAATGAACAGTTTTTCCTAAATCCTCATCCCTGGCCAGCCCCAGCTCCACTTTCTTAGCATTTGACTTGTATACTTACAGCAGTTCCTTTGTTGTTGTTTTGTTTATGTGTTTAGATATTTTGCCTGTATGAATGTCATAGTACCGTGCCTGGTACCTGTGGAGGCCAGAAAGGGGTGTCTGATCTCCTGGAACTGGTGTTACAGACCGTTGGGAGCCACCATGTGGGTGCTGAGAATCAAACCCAGGTCCTCCGGATGAGCAGCCGGTGTTCTTAACCACTGTGCCATCTCTCCAGCCCCTTCCAGCAGGTCTCATAAATGGAACTGTGGAGAGTATGGCCTTTCGGGTCTAGCATCTTCCTTCTCCATGAATGCGCTTGAGGTTCATACTTTATTTTTTTAACCGCTTGTTTCTTTTGGCCCCCACGTTGGAGTGAAACACTCCTTCAAATTTACCATTGTTACATTTGTTTGTTTGTTCTCAAGGCAGGGTTTCCCTGTGTAGCCCTCGCTGTCCTGCAACTCACTATGTAGCCCTGGCTGGCCTCAAACTCACAGAGATCCTCCTGCCTCTGCCTCCCAAGGGCTGGGATTAAAGGCATGCACCACCACCGCCCGGCTATTGTCACTATTTTTCTAGTACACAGTTCAGTGGCACCAATAATAGTCTCACTACTGTGGAACCATCACTACCGTCCCTCTGAGGGGCGTCTGTAAGACGAATTGCTAAATGGTCTTATTAATAAAAAACCTGAAGCCAGATATTGGGGTGAAAACTGAGAGACCAGAGGAATAGGACAAGCCACAGCCGACCTCACCTCACCAACTCCTCAGCCTCCAAAGAGAGAGAGAGCTACTTCCTGTGTACTCACACCTATATCCCTTTCTGTGCCCTCACTTCCTCTCTCTACCCAGCTACATCACTTCCTCTTTCTGCCCAGCTCTATCACTTCCTGTCTGTCTGTACAGACCTCCAGATCTCTATGGTCAGCTAGCACTGGAATTAAAGGCGTGTGCCACCACGCGAGCTCTGTTCTCAGTGTGGCCTTGAACTCACAGAGATCCAGATGGATCTCTGCTTCCCCAATGCTCTGTCTTTCCAAACCCAAACTCTGCTTCTATTACCTCTGGACCTCCACCCCCTTGCGCCTTGACCTCCCCTCAGTAAGTCTTAAGTGCTTAGTCAGTGGACATGGTGCTTGTTGGGCATAAGATCCTAGAGATAGTGTCATGATGGCCAGAGTGAGGCAACTTGAGTAGGCAGTTGTTGTCTCTTTCTACATCCATCCATTGCAAACCCAAAGTGCACAGGTGCTTAAAAAGTAGGACCTTTGAATGGCTACATGGATGAATGGGAGGATGGGTGGATGGATGGATGTGAGGGTGAATGGGAGGATGGATGGATGGGAGGGTGAATGGGAGGATGGATGGATGGGAGGGTGAATGGCAGGATAGGTGGATGGATGGATGGGAGGATGGATGGATGG